GAAGCATGGTCCGATACCACCGCCGGCCGCTTCTGATGCCGCCGTCGACGAGTTTGAATAGTCGGCGGAGGCGGACAGGAGGCTCAGGAAGAGAAGAGCAGGGCTGAACAGAGAACTGATAGTGGTCCGAATTGCCATTTTCAGTAATGAATAAATTGGGAAGCTGAAGCTGCGATAAGTGATTTTGGGAATTTTTGCTTCCATTCGGCTTTTTATTTTTTATAATTATAATTTTTTGTGATAATGATGTGTAATTTCTAAAAATTTAATTTTTATTTTTTAATTATTTTTTATTTTCCAGGTCACACATTTAACGGTCAACTGTCAGAGTTGACCGCCACGTCAGTCAAAGTTAACAGAGGTTAACGGAGAGTGACCGAACTTGAACTGTTCAACTAATTCGAGTGACTATAAATGGAATAAATTAATTTGAGTGGCAAACGTGAAATTTTATAGCAATTCGAGTGACCAAACTTGCAATTAAGCCATTAACTAATTAATGTTTACCTCCTAATTTTTAACTAATATGTGGCAAGAACTAAATAATTAAGCATGTGGATTCAATGCATAACTTATTGGCGTAAAACTATGTATAACTATTTTTGGAACAAGAAAAATTGAGACTTTTATTACAAGTCTATAGCATGTGGTATGTGGTACTACTTAATATGTACATAAAATAATATCACGTGGTATGGATGGTGGTATGAACACAACAAAATGTAGTATAGTTGCATACTTGATAGTAGAAATATATTACCCGTCATTTACCACCTTTCATCAATGCATACCACCTTGTACTAAGGCAGTATAGGGTGGTACTTTTTATCCTGAAAATTTCTTTGCAGAAATTTGTAGATATAATAGATCATGACGAACTCGTTCCTTCTGGGCACTACAACAAAAATGACCTACAGAGACAAAGATATTTGCATCTATAAGGCCCTTATTTGTTTCTATATCCCTTCAAATGCAGATAACATATTTGTCTCCTGTAGAGCCGTTGTTATAATTTTATAGAGACACATATTGAGAAAAAACTTATATGTTGCTGATTGGAAATACTACTACTAGTATTTTAGTATTTGATAACTCTTTTGAAGACAATTATTTTTGTCTCTATAATGATTTTTAAAGACACAAATATTTGTTTCTGATATATGATATAGAGGCAAATACTTGTGCTTTGAAGTTGGTGGTGGAGAGTCATGGTGTGAACCACACGATTTGACTCTGCGAGCTCAATGAACACGTACAACTTTGTGGCAATGAGATCAACATGGTTGTAAAAAACGATGCACTCTGGATTTTAGTGCGATCGCGACTTCAAACATGGCACTAAGGAGCACCGAATGGTCTGATCGACCCACGCTCGTGTAGAGTTGCGTGGTTTGGTTTCATATGGTTATTGGTTGCTGCAAAACAACGGTACATGCATATATCATGATCCATGTGTTGTGTGCCTTTACGTAGGCTCTCGTGATTGATCGATCAACTCCGGGCCAGGGACTCGGCAATGGTAAAATCCCCTTGTCTGTCTTTGGACCTAGATAGCTATGATTCTAGTGGGGGATTACTGAATTAGAATATGCAGAATGGGATTGATAAGAAAAAGGGCAGGGGAGACTTTGTAGAAGAATAGGAAGAAGAAGACAAAAATTGAAAACGGATTAAAAGGTGGGTTGGGACGAACAATAGAGCTAGAAGGAGAAGAAGGAAAAAATTAGATAAAGGCAGAAGGATAATAGGCGTAAGCCTCCAAAGGGTTCTTAACAATAATATTATTCCATACCCCCTATCTCAACAATTAAAATTTAAATATTGAATTAGAAGTTCAAAACTAACTAATCCCCTAATCCTATTGATAGAACTTGTTTCTAGGATTCTATCGGGAATTGGGATTTAGGGATTAAGAACAGAATTAGGGGTTTGAGAAGAGAAAGATAGAGAATCGTCCTAGGCCTGTAGAGAGTTTGAGAACGAGAATTGAGAGGATAGGGAGATTAGGGCTTAGGAGATTGTTTTCTTAATAATCTTCTTATTGATTCTGAATGAATAGGCCTAGTACATATTTATAGCGAATATAGGAAGCCCTACTAATAAACCTAATTCTACTAGAATACTACTAACCATAATAAGAATTACCCTATTAATAATTATAATAATAAATATAGAAACCCTAACGAAGTTGGTTTCTATCATCTCCTCCCCCTTCGAACCAACCTTGTCCTCAAGGTTGACCATCTTGATCCAAATTTTCTTCCTTCCCACGCAATTTGCAAGCTGACTAACCCATTTCTTGCGCTTCTGTTTCTTCCAATCATGTTCCACTCTCTGACCACACCTTCTTTCTTCACCCTCATGTGGCTGCCCCATGGTCGTGACCTGCATGTCCGGCGGCATAATCCTCGCATCCTCGAAGTATTCAAACTTCAATAATTCTTCTTTCGCGATCATCGACCTCTAGCAACTCAAGAAACTTAAGAATTCATAATCGTTCAAGAACTCATCCTTAAGTACCAACTCATCAAGACTGGCGAACATCTTCCCATACACTTGCTTTGGTGTTTCTCCAATTGCTTGTGGCCTACACTCTCTTTAAAGTCCACCAAATAAGCTTTCAAGCACATCTTCTTTTTTCCTCCAAGCCCACCTTCATCAAAACACAATTTCCATTGGGCTCAAGTACTCCTTGCAAACTCGGCCCAGTGTGCATATTCTTCGACCCAGAGACTGGTACAATAGTTTGGCTCATTTCAAACTTCAGCCTAGACTCCAGCTTCTGGTCACCCTCCTTCTTTCTCAGTTGCAGCCCGCGATTTGGCCCAAACGTAGCTCAATTAACCAACTTTTCCACCCCAATCAACTGGATCAGTTGGCCAGGCCCATGACCGAAGCTCTTGAGGCCCATCTCCATCACCTGGCCCACTCGCCCCCACCCATCAGGACTCTTGGTCCAAACAGCATCGCGGCCCACTTCATCTGGCTGCTAGGTGGCTCGTCCTAGGGTTGGCTGCTGGGTCGCGAACAAAGAGGCAACAACGTCGCTCTTAGGAACTTTGGGGACGGGAAGAAGACTCAGAAAGTCGCCGCCGCCTTCCTTCCTCCTTTAATCCGTTGGCGGCCTCTTAAATGACTCGTCCTCCGGCGTCGAGCGGACCACCTAGCGCCTAGAAGTCACGTCGAGTTCCGGCCCTGCTATCGGGTTCTTCTCCCCAACCGACGATGCCACCCTTCCTTTTAGGTTCACGCGAAGGGAAGCTATGCCGCCGCCTTTCCTCTTTGTCTCCTTCACTGGTCTCGCCTTTGACGGCGAACAAATCATCCGTCGACGAGGCAGCCCGCTGCCCTCCTTCTTTGCCAACTCCTTCCTCGCGTCGTTCCCTGCCAAAGATTCCTTGTCCAAACGAACGGTGGCCAACCCTGGAGTATTCGTGCACATTTCCTCCGCTTCCATCGTCGGTGACTCGATCTTCTCCTTCTTTTCCAACCACGAGAAGCTCACTCGACAAGTTAGCGGCCTCAACTTTGGCCTCTTCTTTGCAGCAGTCTTCACCCCAACAGAGGCCGCCATCTTCTTTCTCATTCCCGCCTCCGTCCACGGGCGAGACTCCAGCTTGTCGGAAGTCAAGCTCGAAGCAACAACATCGAACGTCGCTAGAGTAGTCCTTCCATCCGTCTCCGCCTCCACCTCCAATCTTCGCGCCACTTGCGCGATTGACGATGCTGGTGAAGAACCCCGACAATCCCGCTCTTCTTCCTTCCCCGGCGATGAACTCCCCACCAGGACAAAGGACGGAGAGTCTGATGCTGCCTTCGAAGGATCCCTGCGAATCTTCTCCGGGGTTTCATCCTTCAGCAGCATCCGCCTTTGTCTCTTCTTCTTGAATTTCGAGCCATCAATTGGAATTATCACTAGGATTTTGGTTGCTCTGGGAGTTACCTCCTCCGATTCCCAATCCATTGTGAATTCTGCCGCAGGTTGTGTGGGTGGCTTAGTTCGCCGCGGCGAGTCTAGGGGTTCTCATGATCTCCTCCATATGCGCCTTCCACCTTCGTTCCTCTTGGGTTCGGCGATCAAGCGCTTGCTGTATGAGGGCTTCTAGCCGATCGCACACTGAATCGAAGAGTTGTGACGAGCTCATTCTGGCTCTGATACCAAATGATAGAACCTATTTCTAGGATTCTAGCGAGAATTGGAATTTAGAGATTAAGAACAGAATTAGGGGTTTGAGAAGAGAAAGATAGAGAATCGGCCTAGGCCTTTAGAGGGTTTGAGAATGAGAATTGACAAGATAGGGAGATTTGGGTTTAGGAGATTGTTTTCTTAATAATCTTCTTATTGATTCTGAATGAATAGGTCTAGTACATATTTATAGCGAATATAGGAAACCCTACTAATAAACCTAATTCTACTAGAATGCTACTAACCATAATAAGAATTACCCTATTAGTAATAATAATAATAAATATAGAAACCCTAACGAAGTTGGTTTCTATCACCTACTCCACGTTCAGAAAGTGGGAATCGTGGCTAACTAAACAGCTAAAATATTATTGGAAATTAAACAAACCCAAAACCAACTACTAAACGTAACACCATTCGTTTTATTTTCGTAAGTTTCTACTTAACCTAGCAATGACATGTGAGATTCACGTGCAGAGAATTAGAGAACGTGGAGCTCAATTTAGATGACAGAGAGAAGTGAAGAACAAGGACAATAAAGGTAGTCAGCTATTACAACGATGATGAAAAGGATTGTCCATAAGTACATGAACATAACGAGAGCCTAGAGATAAGAAATTCAGCAATCAAAACCATTGTCGCACTTGATACTTTTTCTAAGTTTTAGAACTTCTCTATCATAGACTCTTATATAGAGTTGCGGTAGCCATAATTATAGTTGTGGAGCTCTTAAGAAATCTTTATAAAATTAAAAGTTAACTTAGTATAAATTTCGGCTTATGCTCTGATCTTAATATTAATTGAAGAGATATAAACCAAGTAACAGTTATTTTCTCTTTCATTTTCTTTGTTGTTTTCAATTAAACAAATTAAAATATCACACAACATGCAAGGAACAAACGCACAATTATTTAATGGTGTAATCACATGCTCACACAAATGGCTGTAAGCAGTAAGCACCCGTCAGCCAAATTCGGAGAACCGAGCTCCGTCTACTACCTGTTCCCGGCAGCGGTTTTACAGATGAGTGAGCGACGGACAGTTAGCGAATCAGCTTGATAAGTAGAATAGACGCCGCTTTCTTCTGACATTGAAAGCATGTCCATGAAAAAAGCGTAATTACTGCGAAAGCTAAACTTTAACTCTCCGAATTTCTAGGAAAGCGACTTTTAGGTTTTTGCGACCTGCTAGGGTTTTTGCCTTCTGCATGGCAGCCAATGCGCCGTCGCCTAAGCTGACGCCGGCGTCCAGGCCCCCCGACCAAACAACTGGGGCACGACGCACGGCAATGGGCTCCTCCTCGCCGGATGGGAAAAGCGAGAAGGAAACAGTCCAAGCTAAAAAGAAGGTGAGACCGCTCAATCTTGATACTAAGGAGAGATCCGCACCAGTAGTTCAAACGGCTGCCATGGACACGGAGACAACAGAGACAACGCAACAAGAAATACCAATCAATGAACAGAAACATAATTTCTCGGCTTGGAACAACGGGACGACGGGCCTATTCAAGGGTGCACACATGGATGAGGGGTGGTATGTAGCTGAGTCTGACTCGGAAGACGTGGCAAATCAAGAACGGGAAGAAGATTATGAACTGGATGAGGATGGTTATGACCCTAGATGCCCCTCCGTGCTCTTTACTGCAGCGCAAAAGAACAAGTGGAGGAGAGAATGGCGGTCTGCGTTAGTAGTTCAAGGGCTTGGGAGGAAGGTACCATATATTCCGCTAGCTCGCAGGCTGAATTTTTTATGGGCAAGGGATGGAGAGATTCAAATATCAGATATGGACAATGGGTGCTACCTCGTGAGGTTCAGGAGCCAACGTGACTATGAACAAGCGTTGACGGGAGGGCCGTGGTTAATAGGAGACACATACTTAGCAGTCCACCGTTGGTACAAGGGATTTAATCCTTGGAAAGCAGAGGTACAAAATACTTTAGTGTGGGTGCAGCTACCAAGATTGCCAATTGAGTTCTTTAATAAAGAGGCAGTAATGCAAATTGGATCTTTGATTGGCCGACCGGTGAGGGTGGATAGAGCGACTGAACTGGGAGCTAGAGCAAAGTTCGCTCGGGTGTGCGTGGAGGTTGACCTTACACAGCCGCTGCTCGGTTCTTACAAGGTTGAAGGAGTGAAATATCTCATAGGGTATGAAGGATTGCAGTACATATGCGGGAATTGCGGAAAGTATGGAAAGCCATCAAATAAGTGTAATTGTACGAATGTGTCACCGATGGGCGAGGATGAGGAGGTGGTGGAAGTGCCAGAAACACAAGAAGAGGACCCGACTCGAGGGCAAATCTATGGTAGCTAGATGACTGTGGAAAAAAAGAATCGGCGAACAAAGCGTGGAGAGATGGGGATGGAACGTAAGACGAACGCAAGAGGTGTTGGCCAAAAGGCTGGGGACAATCAGAACCGGTTTGCTATATTTAGAGAGGGAGGAGGCTCGGATTTGGAGGGGAGGGAAGAAATGGACAGGACAAATAGTGAGCGGGTTGCAGAAAAACTAGCAAAAGAACACGTCGAACAAAGTTCCCATGCGTACGTGCATGGCCATGAACATGCAAAAGACAAAAATGTGGGATTAGCAGGTGATGCAGTACAGGAAGCTATGGAGAAGGGGGGAAAACAAAACAACGTACCTGTAATGAAAAGTGGAGTTAAGGTCAGTGAAGTTGGACAGGTCCCAATATCGGGAGCTGGAGGAAATATAAATGGAGATGTGAGATCTGGGCAAGGCAAGAATGTAAAAGGAGGGAAGGGTGAGAATGGTACTTCAAATAAGAACCGGGTGGATAAACCACAGGACAAGAACGATGGAAGGAAAATTGCTGATGGTGCGGGGAACCGATCCCCTTCGGGAAATAGATGAGAATTCTAAGTTACAACTGCCGCGGGCTGGGGAGCAAGCGCGCAGTTAGAGCAATCCGGCCGTTGCTACGACGGTTTTCTCCCCATATAGTTTTCTTAATGGAAACTAAACAAACTAGAGAAGAAAATGAGATCACTCGAAAGGAGCTTGGATTTACGAGAGGTGAGAGCTGGCCTTGTCTTTGTTCAGGAAAGGGTCGTGCAGGGGGGCTATGTGTATGGTGGACGGAGGAAGTAAGCTTGACACTTATGGGTTCTGATTTACATCACATGGATATGAAGGTAGAGCAAAGCCAAGATGAAGTGTGGAGGTTTACAGGGGTCTATGGGTGGCCGAACGGAAAAGATAAATACAGGACGTGGGAGATGCTGAGAAGACTTGGCCAGATGTGTGACGGACCGTGGTTGTGCACTGGGGACTTTAACCAGGTCCTTACGGCAGCAGAGAAGAAAGGAGGTAGGGTGGCGAACGCTAGGGAGATGGAGGAGTTTGCGGGGTGTATTGCTGATGTTGGCTTATATGACCTCGGATTCACAGGCTACGAGTTCACTTGGGAAAATAGTAGGCAGCTGGGCGATCTTATAGAAGAAAGACTAGACCGATTCCTTGCAAATGCCAGTTGGCAGGAGCGGTTCAAAGAGGCACGAGTTCGCCATTTGGACAAGAGGAGATCGGACCACCGCCCAATCGTCTGTGATACGTGGGGTGACGAGGATGAGGAACCGAAATGGGGGTGGAGTTTCCGGTTTGACTCATTTTGGACTAACCATGTTGATTGTGCAGGTGTAGTCTCGGAAGCATGGAAAGAGGGAGGCAGCGGGGATGCTATGACCAAAATCCAAGCTTGCCGGGCGAAACTAAAAGACTGGAGCCGGAAGACTTTCCCCAGCTTTAATAAGCGACGGGAACGGATTGGTCGGGCCCTGAAAGCGATTGAGAGGGCTGCAAAGACAGACATCATCTTACAACAGCGGAGAGATTTGGAGACCGAACTTGATCATTTGGAGGAGGAGGAGGAGGAGCAATACTGGAAACAACGATCGCGTGCGGATTGGTTGAAGGGTGGAGACAAGAACACAAATTTTTTCCACCGCAAAGCAACAGCCCGCCGCAAGAGAAACACAATAAAGAGACTGCGAGACGAGGAGGGGCGCTGGTACCTGGGCACGGAGAAGGCGACTGAATGTTTACTTGACTATTTCATTCCTTTGTTTACTGCAGGAGACGTCCCAATTGTTACGCCGGTGCTGGACTCTATTAAACCATCAGTGGGAGCGGAGGAGAATGATGAATTACTAAAGCCTGTTACCCGAGACGAAATCTGGATAGCGTTAAAGCAGATGGGAGCCCGGAAGGCACCAGGAGCAGATGGGCTGCCGATTTTGTTCTTCAAAAAATACTGGGGGATAGTAGCAGAGGAGGTGGTTGCAATGGTGAAAGGAATTATCGAGGATGGGATGATGCCACCCGGTATTAATCATACGCTCATTGCGCTAATACCAAAGGTGAAGAATCCTGTCACGCCAAAGGAGTATCGACCGATCAGCTTATGTAATGTCATCTACAAGATGGCATCGAAGGTGCTAGCTAACCGGTTGAAGCTACTGCTGGATAAGATAATCTCACCATCACAAAGTGCGTTTGTGCCTGGGAGGTATATCACAGATAACGTCATGGCGGCATTTGAATGTTTTCATACAATGAAGAAAAGAAAGAAAGGAAAGATTGGATATTTCTCGGCCAAGATCGACATGGCTAAAGCATATGATCGGGTCGAATGGCGGTTCTTGGAGGGGGTGATGCGGAGGATGGGCTTTGCGGAGGCATGGATCAATCGGATAATGTTGTGTGTACGTACAGTAACTTACTCTGTAATTGTTAATGGGCACCATTCCCAGCCGTTCTCACCGGGAAGAGGAATAAGACAGGGGGACCCCCTGTCCCCATACCTCTTTCTCCTGTGTGCGGAAGGGCTGTCTGCATATACAGAGAAAGTTGTTCGTGAGAAAAGGATACATGGATTACAACCTGTTGTGGGTGCGCCGGAAATATCTCATCTGTTCTTTGCGGATGATAGCATTTTCTTTGGTAGGGCGACGCAACAGGAGTGCAGCACTTTGAAAGGTATACTGGCCGACTATGAGAAAGAATCTGGGCAATCGGTAAGCTTCCAGATATCCGAAGTAGCCTTCAGCAAGAACGTGAAACCACATTCGCGGCTAATAGTGGGAGGAACTTTAGGGATGAATATCGTTGAGAAGCACGAGAAGTACTTGGGGCTAGCTACTACTGCCGGCCGGTCAAAAAAGGATCTGTTCACAGGGCTGGTGGATCGAATCCGGAAAAAATTGAAAGGATGGAAAGAGCGGGTTATGTCGGTGGCAGCAAGAGAAACACTGATAAAATCGGTTGCTCAGGCCCAACTATCATATGCTATGTCGGTTTTTAGAATTCCCTCGAGCATTATCGATCAGGCGCACAGTCTGATAACTACGTTCTGGTGGGGACAACAAGGAGTAGAGAAAAGAGTTCACTGGATCAGACGGGAAGCCCTACTCTGTTCTAAGATGGAAGGTGGGATGGGGTTCCGTGATTTGGAGGGCTTCAACGTAGCGATGCTGGCAAAACAATTATGGAGTCTATACGCGCGACCTGATTCGCTGATTGCTAGGATTATGTGTGCTAAATACCACAAGAAAACGTCTATTTTGGATGCTCATGTGGGACACAGTCCAAGCTACATTTGGCGAAGTTTGATGTCGGTACAGGAATTCCTACAAAGTGGTTTAAGATGGAGAGTCGGGAATGGCGACAGAGTGCGAATCTGGGGGGACAAATGGCTGCCCAATAGCGAGGAGGGTTTTATTCTCTCCCCCCCGAAGGGTCTCCAGGTGGACGCCCGAGTTAGTGAGCTCATCGATCCAACTACAGAAACATGGGACATGGAGAAGTTGAAAGGGAGCTTCCCTGAGGAGGTGATCCACCACATTACCCAAATTCCTTTGCGTGGTATACAGGAAGAGGATAGGCTGATTTGGAACTCGGGTGACAATGGAAGATATACTGTGCGGGCGGGCTACCAATTTTGGCTACAAAGTAAGAAGGAGGAGCTGGGCATCGGACAGGTAGGAGAAGAAAAGATATGGAAAAGGCTATGGGCCATGGAGGTTGCGCCGAAAATCAAGCACTTTATATGGAAGTTCGCACGGGACATCCTTCCTACAGGGGACCATATCAGTGTAAAGAGTAAACGACGAGGAGATGGATGCCCGTTTTGCGACCTGCGCGAGACGCAACTCCACTTGTTTGGCGAGTGCTCATGGGCGAGCCGTATTTGGAGACAGTCTGCTATGATGGAGTTGTTTGACTTCCAGCCGGCACAGGACAGCTACCATTGGCTGGAGAAGGTAATGGCTAAAGGGGACGATGTGAAGCTTGAAGGATGGTGTGTGCTAATGTGGTTTTTGTGGCGGGAAAGGAACGCCCATCTATTCAATGGCAAGAAGATGGAAGAGGACGAGATTGTAGGGCGAGCTCATAGGAATGGTGTGCCGCAATATCCGGAGATTGCTACAGGAGATGGGGGGTAGGTCGTGGCGACATATTCGACGAACAGCAAATGAAGCAGCTCATGTCATGGCGCAGGTTCGGAATAGCTCGAATGGGACGAATATTTGGGTGGACAGCCCCCCTGGGTTTCTGGTTAATCAGTTGCATTGTGATAATGTAATGCCCATTACAGATTAATGAAATTTTCGACAGGTTACCGTCAAAAAAAAAAAAAGAAAAAGAAAGCATGTCCATGAAACAAAGCCCAAGTAACCTGCGATTAGTAACAAAAAAAAAAGAGACTTGTGTGCTGTTAACTAACTTGTGTTTCGATTTCGAGCAATACAGGGGACATGCAAAATTGGATTAGCGAACGGATGGTAATGGTACACAATGAGTCTAACAGCATATGGAGGCAAAACTATGCTGCTAAGGGTTTCTTTCTTGAGAATCTCTCAGGCCACCTTGAGTTAAAAATCCTGCACTTGCTCTGGGAAAATTGCAGGCGCTTGCTTTCCTTTGGTGTTTTGTTACTATAACCTGTCTACACTAGATCCGCTTGAAGGGATAACATTCTTACGGGATTCTAATTCGCACTTGAATCCCTTTCGAATCAACCCATGAACCTACAAAATCAAGAATCCTTTTCTAACCAACCACGAATCAACAAACCAAACCGAGACGCATCAGGCACCACAACCTCTGGACGAGGATGGTGGCAAACAAGCTGCAATATCAATTCCTGCAACCTCCATGGCATTACAGACCCACTTGGGGACATCGCCTTTAGGAAACTGCAAAAAGCAAACAAACAGCAGTCCTGTTATATGAAGCCTATGCAAAAGCAAAAATCACCCCACAAAGACATTTTCAACAGCTTCCCCATCTTAAGGTAAGAGTTCCCAACTGGAAACTCCTAAAACAGTTTCAATGGAAGGAAGACAGAACTAGTGTTCGAGTATCATGGTTAAGGTGGCTGTTAGAACTGACCATTTTCTTCAGGAAGTCGCAGACGAACCTATTAAATGTGCAGAGGCAGAGACCAAGAAGAAGAACCAACATATGTTAGAACTCTGACCAATCAACTGTGTAATAGACTAGCATATGCATTTCTTCAATTCATCAGCATAATAACATGAATGAAAGAGAAAATAATCTTTTTGGTGATGGGGGTAGGAAACTATAAACAAGCACATACTCTGGAAATCTTCCTTGTATGATTGAATTGTGTAGGTCTCTACTCAGCTGAAAGCAAAGAGGAGTATTATTACTAAATCACCAGGACGATTCACAAACACGAATAAATTATAAGAATTTTTTTTCAGAATATACCTGCAGCATGTAATACAGATTGTGATATGACAGAAGTTGTGATCCCATGGCATCTTTTGTGACAAGGGCATGGATGTACGCCCGTGAATAGGTTCTGCAGACCTACAATCCACAGTAAAAGCAGACTAGCCATTAGCAATCACTTTACACAACTGGGAAGGGGCAAATGCTGCATCACTATCATACCATGCAAGCACAAGTGGGATCAATGGGACGAATATCTTCTGCCATTGCTTTGTGTTTAAGCTTGAGCACTCCCTGCAGGCGTTACATCAGACTAGGAGCTTAGGGATAGTGTATATCATTTCAGTGGTGAGCGGCTAAACTATACGTTCGGAGTACAGTGAGGTAAATATTACCCCAGAAAAAAAAAACATATACTATTTCCTTACTAGGATACCCTTGTTTCGTCACATGACATTTTTAGTGACAAACAAAGAAGTTTGTCACATTTTTAGAGCATCACGTCTAGTAGATAGTGCACTAGCAACTATTTGGAAATATGTCTTAAAAACCAACAAATAATCACCTCTGGTACAAGAGCAGTGCCAAAACGAGCTGTACGAGTGGGATACACGCAATCATACATGTCTGCCCCTAGAGCACTGCAAACCACTATATCCAGTGGATAACCAACACCCTGAAACATGAAAAAGCAAAATTAATGACCAAAAACAGTAGAAGCTAGGAGTAGTTCACTGAGCAAAAACTTTACTGTACCATCACATATCGGGGTTTATCTTCAGGCAATGCAGCAGTGCACTGAGCAACAACACGCCAAAATGAATCTTTGTCTTCCCCGCCAGCAAGGCCTCCAATGGCATAGCTATAAAAAAAATGTGACATCATGCAGTTAGTTGCTTGGTGGTAAAACACGGTATCAGTTGACAAAAGTAAGCAACAGTAGTAAAGAAAGAAATTTAAGGAAATGACACTATCATTTTGCCATACCCAGGTAAATTTCGTTCAGTCAAAGCTTTAACACATATATCCCTGATCATTGCAGAAGAAGGCGAATCATCAGTAATTTTCATAGAGCATAAATGAGAGAAAATAATGCTTCAAAAAGATCAAGTTAGTAGTGGAAGAGTTAGGTAATACTAACCTTAACACAGGATCCAGACCACCTTGAACAATGGCAAACAAGTTTTGTTCGCCTGGTCTCTGGTGAGCTGTTCAAATAAATCAATCCGAAGTTGAAACCGATCAAGATGGGAACTCTCAGGGTGATCGAAAAAGAAGATAATTTAAAAGTTTAACTACAGATTGAGCATCCAGGGAAAGAGAGTTTATTATAACAAATTATTAATCTGATTGCATTTCGACATGAACTGAAATGGTGAAAAGCTAGAATTGAATGTTCTTGGATGCCTAACAGGCTCGCAACATTCAACTTCCAAAAAGTAAGTCCAGAAATTGTCTAGCACTGGTGATCAGGCTATAGATGAGGTGAATAAACATAAAAGCTACAGCTTGGATAAGAATATCACTAACTACTTTTCATTTGAGCAATAACAAAAAAATGTCAATTAAGCCTAGAAGAAGTTACCTGCAATGCACCTGTCTATCCATCGAATTGTGCGATACATAGCCTCCTCAATCCTTGGACCAGTGGTAGTGGTTTTTACTACATCATCGAGAGCCATAATGATATCTGCACCAATTCTGTTCTGCAAAAATCATCAATTGCAATATTTCTGCTGTAAGTTTCTCCCACCTTGTTAGGTTTGCCCTTTTCTATAGATGATGTTGACAGTAAAGTTTAAACCCAATGTGTGGTTCGGGTTTTGCTCGTTCATTAAACCAAAGAACAAAGAAGTTCCCCTTTTACAACCATTGTCTTTTGAAACACGGTTCTTTCCAGTGAGAGGAGTCAAATAAGATGTTCAGCAAAAGAAGAGAAATATCGGATACAGATCTGAAAGTGAGGGGAACTTTATTGAGTAGTAAGACAAGCACTGTTCTGTTCCTACTGCTCGCAAAATATCTTCTGCAATGGCTTTGACTTCGGCATAACTAGGGTACAAAATCCTGAGTCTTTTGTATGAAATTATAACAGCTATCTCAGAAATATTATGATGCATTTACAGATCCTATGAATCAAATAGGCTAGTGAAGGATAAATTAATGCAACAATAATTAGAATCTTGCAAGCTGTTATTTGCAACCAGGCGCGCATTATGCACTTGGCAATGAGAATTTGCAACCAAATTTTATGACTATGCCAGGCAGAAAGGGGGAGTGCAAGACCATCTTACTTGGATTTGAATGGACTCCTCAGGAGTTAAGAGCATGGGGTTTCCATCCACTGGAGACTGGAAGACAATGAGTAGTTAGCAGCGAAGGAAGACAGTTCCTCCTCATTATCAGTAAGGGTGACCCAAACAATCATAAGATGCACTGAAACAGTTTGCTTCCCCGGCTTGACGGTCACCGACAGAAGCAAAATCAGTACTACAAAAGACTTTCTATTTACGGGAAAATAACACCCCAGTTATCATGAACATAAGTTATCTGGTAAGATTCTGAATAAGAAAGTGACAGGATGCTATAAAAATGGTTAGCTACTTTATCTACACACAAGTTGACATGTCAAATTTTTTTTATCATGTAATTCCTACCGGCAACAAAAGGCTTTGTTGTTTTGACTTCATCTAATAAACATACATGTTTTGAGGAAGTTACATCTAATCATTTCAAGACAGCTGAAAGCAAGTGAAGATCTTGGCTTGTCTAATAACTAGTACCTGGAATGTCACTCCATTTTCGGTTATATCAGCTAAATGCAGCAGCGACACCTGCAATCAATAACCCCATTGTTAAACACATAAGCAAGAAGCGACCATATACATAGTTAACTACAGAGATAAACTTCCAACTGAACCACAAGTGAAAACAACTAAAACAAAAGGAAATACATAACAAAATCAAACAACCATTTGGAAGCCACCAGAATCAGTAAGCAGTGCTCTAGACCAATTCATAAATTTATGAAGGCCACCTAATTCATCTATTAGCTCAGAGGTTGGACGTAGCGCCAAATGATATGTGTTCCCAAGGATTATTTGACAGCCAATCTCCTCAAGCTGGCTAGTTGTCAAACCTTTAATTGTCCCTGGAACCACGAGAAGACGAACAATAAAGGAAGTTAAGCCATTTAAACCTCAACCACAACGAATTGGGCAGAGTTCAATATTTGATAAAAAAAAAATCTGACCTTGTGTTCCTACAGGCATAAACAATGGTGTCTCACATAGAAAATGAGGGAGCGTCATTCGAGCTGCACGAGCACGATTAAACCTTGCCAGAACCTACAAGTAGGGAGTGGGATTGTAGAGTAATGATTCATTCCACCTCAGCATTACATTCATAACATGTAACCCAGACTTCAAAAGTGTATATTTCGAATGATCGAGTTGAGCATCTACAAACAAGCAACATTCTCAAGTCGAACTAGAAGCCTACTATCTAGCAACCTTTACGCTAGATCAGATCAATATGATTCTAGGTTTGAGTAAGAATTCGATATTCTTCCAGCACAATCTAGCAAAAAAGACAGGTGCTTGTAGGCATTTATTTTCTTTCAAACAGTGAATACAATGAGAATGGAGAACTGGGAAAAGTACATTGCGATTGAAAGAAGAGCAACGCCCGATGAAGAGCCACGAGAGAAGAGATACGAGGTCGTTACCTCGAAACGAAGCGCCATGGTGTAAATTAGTTTCGCTGCTGGTTCGGTCGTACGAGTCTGCGGCAGTCAACCCCCTTTGTCCAAGGCGGCCAAGAAGAAGAGCGTCAGGAATTTGTCCCCGAGAAACAGAGCAAAGAAGGAAAAGGATAAAGATTATGTAAGTGGACGAGGAAGAAGAAACTTTGAACTTACGGAGGCGGAGGCGGAGGCGGAACCAAGAGGTATACGGTGGAGGGAAGGAGGTAGGCAGGTAAAAGCTCAAACTGAGAGAGTGCCGGCGCGCGGTGCTTGTTTCTGGTTTTCTCGTTACCCTTTGTCGTTTCCCTTGTTCACTCAAGTTTACAAGTTACAACAATCACAATGGGCCATACCGTTCTTTCAAAAACAATGGGCCAGACCGTCCTTTCACCAAGTTTTCCAATTGGGCTATGGAGTGGTAGACTAGGTTAGCTTTCCAATTGTTGGTTGTTGTTGCTAATGACACGATGGATGAATATTATTAGGGTTATGGGTATAATATGTCACTCTACTATGATGTTTTATCAAATATGTCCCTCTAATATTTTTTACATCAAACATGTCATTGTACTTTGAAAACTAATTAAACATGTCCTTTTGTTAAAATTTTCATCCAAAAACCGTTAACCAAGACCGAACTTTGGTTTGGGCGATCCAAATATCTAAAATATCCCTAATAATTTCACTTTAGAGTTTTTTTTGTTCTTTTGATATTGTGTTTGGAGAGGTGGATAGATAGGACTATAGTTGCTCGATTAGGACCCTAGCGTTATTGTGTATAGCCAAATAATTCTAATAATTTCACTTTGGCGAGACCTAGAGAAATAAAAACAAGGGTGAAAACTGACATTTCCCCTCCTATTTATCGATGTCAGGTCGTCTAAATCTCTGTTCAACCATGATTGACGACTTTTTCATTGGAAATTTCAACTGAAGGGCATGTTTGATAATTTTTCCAAATTACAAGGGCATGTTTGATGTAAAAAATAGTAGAGGGGCATGTTTGATAAAACGGCATAGTAGAGGGGCATATTATACCTATAACCCATATTATTATTCTCATACTTTACAATTATTGGTTGTTGTTCCTACTAACTGCTGCTGGTAGTGTTGGTAAGTGTTCATGTTGTTGTTGCTAACTACTGCTTTGAGATTAGCTTCGAGAGCCACAATTCGGTCGAGAAGATCCTCAAGAGAAGGGGTAACATCGCGAGCCCAGAGACAAACTGTGACCAATTCAGCATCAGTGACAGGAACAATGGCGAGGTTGAGCTTAGTGGCAACAACTCAAAGGGACTGAACAACGGAGTTGGCATTGTGATCTCCTTTCTTCTCGCCATACAATCGGTTACGAAGCATCATAACACGCGATTGAGAGGATCCAGTATGGAGACGTTGAAGAGTGGACCACGCAATAGCATATGTGGTCGACGAACTAATGTAAGGGAGCACTCCCTTAGAAACAGAAGCAAAGATGTCATTCAGCAGTAGTTGATCCTGGCAATACCAACGGTGATGGGTAGGAGTATTAATTCCTGCACCATCGACCATCATTTTGGTGCACTCGGGGCAACAAAAGAGCCATCAAGATTACCAGTTAAGTCAAGGCTAGCCATGAGAGACATGAGCTGCGCACGCCTGGATAGGAAGTTTTGGGCGGTGAGCTTTAACGGAAAAGAGACTACTGAATTGAATGTGACAAGGGCAACCCTAGAAGAAGGTGGGGCACCACCGGAGATTACAGAATCGGAGCCACATTGGAAAAAAAGAGAGACAACTGACCGTGGGCGCCTAGCAAAGGGAAAAAAGGGCTCTGATACCATGTAAGGTTATGTGAACTGTGTGTATTCTCATTAACAATAAAGTGGTATTTATACCCAACCATACTAGCGAACATATACAATAGGGAGAAGGATAAACTAATACACAAGGGAAGAAATACATAGGTGATAACACCTAAATTGGTGCTATTTAGTCATCATATTTACATTCTTTTTGGGTCATTGCATGTGCATATTGAAAGATACATCTTCAATTACACCTCTATTTCGTACCTTAACGAATATATCGTTATATTAGAGTGTATTAGACAATATGTGTGAATTAGGTACCAAAAGGATACAAGTGTAGCAAGAATGCGGCAAAAGCTGAAGATCTCAGTCTGGAAAAGGAAGATCACAGTCGAGAAGGGGCACGCAAAGTGAGAGCGAAGATCGCGGCCTGCAGAGCAAAGATCACGACCGCGATGTTGGAGGATTCAGTCGTGAACTTTAGGAAGTGCTTGCCCGGGAGAAGCAGACAGTTTTGCGAGTCAAATTGTAGCCCTCGACTTCCCAGCCAGCGAGAAAGATTGCAGCCACGACTTACGGATCGCGAATGTGAAGTCGGCCCGCTATCTCCCCCTTGGACAAACAACAAAACGGTAACGCTTGAAGATCGTGGCCTCCCTACTCAAGATCGCGCCCACGAACTTTCCCATCATGGCTGCGAACTTGTCCGAGGCCAGAAATTCTATAAATAGGGATGCCTTCCCCCATTTAAGAGAGCTTATTTTGATTGAAATTTTTGGTTCTTTGAGAGAGAAAGTAGAGAGAGAAGCTAAAGGAAGAATAAGAAGGATAAGCTAGAAGGAGGAGTCATCTTCCCCATCAAGTCTTCTTCATTTTCTTCAATGTTTCTTCTTCCTTCTTTTATGGAGTAGTCCTCAAAGGCAATATAGTCAAAATCGAGATTTTAAGTAAAATCAAAACTGAGGTAAAATCGGAATCGTAGATCAAAATCGTAAGATTTTAAGGTTCATATTAAAACGAACATTTAAAACTCCATAGAGTAATAACAACGCATATCATGTATAACAGTCAACAACATATAACTTAATTTTTTCTCAAAATAATTTGTTTGTTAAATAAACACAAATAAATTCATAAATTTATTCTTGTACATAACAGAAACACACAAATAAGCCACATGAAACTCATAGGAATTACTTAATTTAGTTAATAGCTAAAAGTAAAAAATCACATAAGATCGTTAGGATCAACATTAACACCCATCACCCTCACTCACACCATTGAACATATTTCCTTGATAACTATCATCCAGAAAAAGTAACTCATTGATTGATGGAATCCCACTTGAATGATTAAAAGTCAGGGATGGTATTGCGGAAGGTTTTGGAGATGAACAAAATCTTGCAAGGGAATGGAGATTGGGCTAATTGTGAGGGTGGCGGGAAACAAACTCCGAGCTAACTTTGAGAGTGGAGGAAATCGTTGATGGAAAGAGTTGGGTGTCTGCATGCGGAAGAGGAAGATATGAGGAAGAGAACAAATATAAATTGAGGTCACCTGTCGAGTTAGGGTTATGTTGTTCATAATTTTAGGTTGGGGGAAATGAACTTGACCCGGTTCATGGGAAAACCCCGACCCGACAGGCCTGATTTTGCTCCAATTGATGTAAACCTTGAAATCGTACAAAATTAAAAAGCATAGATTTTGAGGATTTTATAGTTTTAAATCAAGATTTTATGGAATTTTGAGGTTCAAAGATTTTATAGTAAAAGCAAGATCGGAACCTATAGGTAAGATCGTAAAATCGTAAGATTTTAAGATTAAAATCAAGATTTTGACTATATTGCTCTAAGGTACTAGGGGTTAAAACCCTCAAACCCTATATTAGGTTTATAATGTAGATGAATGAATTATGTTAGGGTTTATGAATGGATGTGTTTGTTCTAGTGATTATATGCTTCATTTATGTTTAATTATGCTTGGGTAAGTTGCCCTACTCTTCTTACTAGCCTATGATGAGCCAACGCTGGGTAGGAGTTTTAGAATTAGACTGGGTAGCGCCAACTGCATATTAAGGCTAGATGAATGACCTTAGGGTCTTGTATCGGACGAGACGATCATGCCCATGCTGCAAAAACTCCTTCATAGACAATGCTTTCAAGGAATGCAAGCGTGTATCGATCCGTCTCTATAGTGTGCACGATAGGTAGAACCTATTGAAATGAGCTAATCTTGTGCACGAACTTGGTCACCACTCACCACTATATAGCAACGACGCCATTTCGAGTTAAAATTGGCTCGGAAGGGGGTAGTTATTTAGACCGTGCAAACAATAGGCAGTGACCTGCACGGGGACGATCAATAGGCCGACAAAGCTACTTGTCCATAATATTGCTGCTACATACTACTCATCTTCTTCTATGACTGGCATTTTATATGGCTAGGAAAATTTGAAAAAGATATTAATTATGGGAGGAAGAAGATGGAGTATCGAGAGGAAGAAGAGGGCTTAGGAAAGGAGAGAGAGGCATAAAGCAAAGGAAGGAGGGATGCATGAGTTTGAGATAAAAAGAGTTCAAATGAGGGAATGTCAATTTTGTGGAGGTGTGATGACACGTAAAATATATGGTTTATAACGTCATTTCGTGGAGTTTCTTTACACATTTCTACATATATTTAGCCATATTGCATTGAAATTGTTTGGTAATTGCTCAAATGTGTGTTTAATACGCCACTAGCGATGTTTTATACTTTTTATACCTTTTGGATAGTATTTTGTGATTTTTCGAACCATAGCACCCTTGTGTACCACCTTGTACTAACCCGAGAGATCATAAATGGAGTTAGATCCCAAGCCCAAAAATGTCGGCCCAAATTGTCGACCATAAGCAAAAAAGGACACCTCGAGCGCCATCTTTCAAAAGGTACGATTTGACTCAATTTGATCGAATACTCCTTCCATATCTATAAAGTTGAAGATATTCAAAAGATACACAATTTAAAGGGTTACCATCTTAAAAGAGCTCGTAGCGAACCTTATTGAAAGACCTATAAAGAGACCCCATCGACCAACATTTGAACACAAGTCTTATACATGTATCTACTCTTCCTCCATACCAACTCACCAGAACCAAAATTGATTAGAAGCACGACGGCGTAATGGGGGCCAAAATGGCGCCTAGGCACCATTTCCCCTCTTAGACCTCCATTTGACAGAAGATAGATAACTCAGTTTTTGATTGATGTATCTCCTATATTCTCTCCCCATGAGTGACTAGTTTTATAGTTTTATATGTTTGTGAACCCTAGAGGTTCTTAGACAATTTATTAATCGATTATTGGTATATATATACATATATATATTGTGATTGTTTGGTTTACATCTCTCTATGTTTATTGCGTTTATTTTTCTTTGTTATATGTGTTCATGTAAGTGGATTGTAACAAGGAAACTCATGTGATTGAGTGCACACCAAATGCAATACAATACTTGGTAG